GACAAATGCTTTCTCCATATCCTGGCTCAGGCCTGATGCATATAGAAGAGGAGCTGGCAGGGTAAAAATGATTGGGGTGAAAAAGGAAAGAGCCATACATGTGCTTGATATTGAGCAGACAGCTGTTTCCTCCGCCCTATACCTTGTCACAGGAAAGTCAAGGCAAAGCAGCCAAACCCTCTTCTGCCTCAGTAAACCAGGCCATCTGTTTAACTGTTCAGGAAAAGTATGTTGAATTTCTAACTTGTCACTGCACAGGAAACAGTGAAACTGTCCAACTCTTTCTATTGTCTGCCTAAAACTGTTCCCTTCTGTGCCATGAGTTCATCAATAATTCAATACACCTTGAATTCTATGCTTCATCTAAGGCAAAATACAAAACTATGGGTTTTTTATAAAAAAAATCTCCACCTTTTCGTAATACGCCAAATCTGCTGCCTTACAGCGATACTGACAAGGGACCCTAGACCTCTGTTTCCCTTCTAGAGGGCAATTGGTATCTAGTAAGCATAGAATTATAACCAGGGGTGAAATTCAGCAGGTTCTGATAGGCTATGGAGAACTGGTAGCGGAAATTTTGAGTAGTTCGGAGAATCGGCAAATACCACCTCTGACTGGCCCCAGAGTGGTGTGGGGATGGAGATTTTGCAGTATCCTTCCCTTGCCATGCCCACCAAGCCACACCCACAGAACTGGTAGTAAAAAACCTGAATTTCACCACTGATTATAACTACCTTTAGTTACAAATTCCAGGTTTCTAAATGCAAAATGGTGGTTCTTCAGTTCTTAGTTAACACAATAAACTCCAGAGGGGAAATAATTAACACAGGGCGAGGATGATGATGCACACACTTGTTAATCAAAGTTCTTGATTTAGTGTATCATATGAACTTAGCCTGGTTCAGCTATTTAAAAAAGAAATAACATGAAAAAGCCTGAAATTAGTTCAATGATACATACAATACTATCAATTACATGATGTGAATGCTTACACAGCTGTGTTCCTTCATAAACAGCTATGGAAAATGGAATCAAATCATTTCTGGATTGTTGTGTCTGTGAGGAAATTGAATAATAAAAAAATAATTGCAGGGAACTAGAAGTCAGTTAATGGAAGAATGGTGGAAAAAGCAAGGCATATTAGTCTTGATAGGAAAAAACTGAGACATATAATGTATTTTTCAGGTATTTGAAAGGGTGGTACAGTTTCTCTTTCCTCATTCCTTAGGACAGAGGTGGGAAACTATTTATGACTTGTGGATTTCAACTCCCAGAATTCCTGAGCCAGCCATGCTGCCTCAGGAATTCTGGGAGTTGAAGTCCACAAATCATAAAAGGGCCATAGTTCCCCATTTCTTCCTTAGGATATAGAATAATGGATTTAGTAACAGGAAGTTAAATTTCAATTGTTAGTGCGGGAAACCTTCTTATCAATAAGAGCATTTCAACAGTGAAACTAATTAGGCAAGTAAGTGGTACACTCCTATCAAGCAGACGTAGAAAATATCATGGCATAAAATGCTACTTCATTAGCCCTCTTATTTTGTACTCAAAGCAGCTACAGCAAAAAACAAAACCAAACAAGTTTTACTCAGCAAAGGTGCTCTGCCTATATGGCACACGAGAGGGGTGAAGGAAAGAGAGAAAATATTCAGTGTTTAAATCTTTTAGGAAAGAAAAGGAAAAAAGAGCCACTGTAACCATTCATTTCCGAACGTCCAGTTGGCCCGTTGGGGCCATTTTTTGCTCTCCCCAGCCTCTGGAGGCTTTCCTGAAGCTTGGGGAAGGTGAAAACGACCTCCCCCAGCCCTCCAGAAGCCCCAAAATCAGCTGGCACAAGTGTGCTGGAGTTGACGACTGGCATGTCAGAAAATATGGCTCCACATGCCACCTGTGGCTTGCATGTCATAGATTCGCCATCACGGATCTAGGTGAATCATGGCATGGGTTCTGGTGGTTTGCCTCTCTCCAGTTATATCTGCCTGTCCCATCAGATCCAGAAGAAGATGTATGTGATGGGTCCCATCAGCTAGGGAGTTACACATGGTGGGACCCAAGAAACTGGCCTTTTCTGCCATAGCACCCATCTTATGGAACATCCTCCCTCCCCTGAAGTGAGACTAGCTCCTTGTTTTCCAAAAGGAAGGCCCCCAAAATCTGGTAATGCCAGCCAGCCTGGGGTCCCAGGGGCCCCAGCGAGGTACTGAGGTTCCATTGTTGTTGACATCTGTTGTCCTCTCAGTGTATATAATCACAATTTTGGATCATAATTGTTTGTTATATAATACTGTTTTATGGTTTTTATTCAACTCTGCACAGTCATTTCTGCATGAGATATTAATTTGATGAATGAATGAATAAATAAAATAAACTATGCTGGTAATATGCCCAGTTTAGCCCAAATTCAAAGAAAGCCCGCCAACACTAAATATGCCAAACCTCGATCTTTGGAGGGAAATATAGAAAGCAGCTGTTTTACATGAGTTTCAGCACTGTACATTACACCTGAAAAGTTAGAGGTCACTTGGCATTTATATTTCCAATTTCCCAACAATATATGAAGAAATCCTACATTTGTTTTCTTGGTTTAAGAGTGTCCTTCCCTTTCTTGCTTCGTTTTACCAATGCCAACCTAATCCTATCTACTGACAAGTAAACCTCCTTCCTTTCCCCAATGCCATTCCTGGCTGCTAATGTGTTCAGCTAATATAATAGCTCAATAGTAGTAAGTAAAAAAGAGAGATCTTGGAGTCTTAGTAGACAGCAGTATGCTGCCACTGCCAAAAAGGCTAACACAGTCCTAGACTGCATTAACAGAGGGATAATACCAAGATAATGGTATCACTTTAATATCACTTTATAATGCCTTGGTAAGACCACACTTGGAATATTTCATCTAGTTTTGGTGACCATGATAAAAAAAAGATATTGCAACTCTAGAAAGAGTGCAGAGAAAAGCAATAAAGATGATTAGGGGACTGTAGGCAAAAACATAAGAAGAACTATTACAGGAACTGGGTATGTTTAGTCTAATGAAAAGAAGGACCATGGGGGATATGATAGCACTGTTCCAATATCTGAGGAGCTCCTACAAAGACGAGAGTGATCAAACTATTTTCCAAAGGACAAAAAGGCAAGAAAAGAAACAAAAAGGCAAGAAAAAAAAGTAGGAGAGAAGCAACCTAGAATTAAGAAGAAATTTCTAACAGTGATAGCAGTTTACCAATGGCATGGTTTGCCTTCAGATGTTGTTGGTGCTCCATCACTGAACGCTTTCAAAGAGACCAGACAACCATTTGTCTGAAATGATATAGGATCTCCTGCTTGAGGAGGGGATTGAACTAGAAGACTTCCAAGGTCACTTCCAACTCTGTTATTCTGTTATATTGTTATAATGGTATTTGTAACAACTTTTTTAAAAATAGTATATTGTTTTTCAGTCTGTGCTAAACTTCGGAGTCTCTTTCACTTCCATGTACATAGCTGTTGCTTGATAATAGCTAGGTGTCTCTCCCAATGCAATTTATCATGAGCTTCTAAGATTGGGATGCTGTCTATTATTCCAAATTTAATTGGCAGCAGTATTAATCAGCTATCTAGTATGAAACTTGCCTGTGGACCACAGCAATTTCTTAGCATATTGTAGTGCCAGCGTCCCAGATATCAATGCCTTGTAATGTCTGGTAGAAGCCATAATAACAAACTGGCATTGGATGTATCGTGATGTAAGTACATAATCTTCATCATGTCATCCCGATGCAGGCAACGTCACCTTTGTTTCTCGGCTGACACTCAAGACTATAACCAATGTATTAAAATCCTATAACCATTTTTCTCGTCTTACAGTAACAAGTTCTATACTTTATGATGGTTGATTTTATAATGCAAGTAGACTTATCCCATATTAAAATGAACATATAACATTTAGACCAGACAAAACAAAAATCCAATTTCAATATTTCATCACTTTAAACGATGTGCTCTGTTATAATTTTAGCATTTCAACAAATTTAAGTAAACCAATTGCCAACAATTAAGCAACCCTTTGTGAGAATGTGAATCCAAGACTTTCAGTTTCTTTATAGGAGGGCTGTTCTACCTGGAGTTCAAGTCAAGCTTCCAAAAGCCACAAGAGTGGCTCTGAGCCTTCCAAAAGTTGCAACTGAATTACAATTTTAATTTAATGTCAAATTTGTAGGAAGTAATTATGTTAATTGCATTTAATTAATGAAGTTAAATTTAATTTAAATTAAGTAGGTTTCATGTTTAGTATTACAAAAGCTAATTTTGAAAGACTCTACCTTTGGAATCCCTTCAAGTGTATGGTGGCAGACACTTTTAAAAACATAAATTAACTTGCAATGTCAGTGTCAAAGGGAACACTTTTCCTCACACAATCATGTTCAAATGATAAGGGCATATGCTATACTTGCTTACAGGTACCATCATGATCAGAGATAAGAAAGATAATATCTAGCAGACCAAAAAATCCTGTCCAGAAACATATGCCAAGAGCTAACTTTATTATTATGTAAAGCATGCTCTAATTTCCTGGTCCTTCTAACTTTGTGTATTTATCTTAGAAACATTTTAAGAAATCTTGTTGGTCACTTCTTTGTTTGCAGATTTTAATCTATTCCGTTTCTAAGTGTTATTACTGTTTAGTTTATTTTACTGCTTAGATTGTTAGTGTTTTATTGAGATTCTCAGATGTAGTGTAGTATAAAAATCTTCTACATACACAAACAAACTAAGTATCTTGCTAGCTGTGTCTCCCTCCCTGTTGGAAATATATTCCATAGACTATAATGGAGAAAAAATTCTTATATATCGTGCTTGAATAGTCATGTTTCTTTTATGTGACATATTACAATTCCTGGGTGTTTTAAGTTAAAGGGAATCCTATCACAGTCTCTACCATGGAACGGAGTACAATTTTGTTACATGTAACATTTACAGATGTTTACTGAAATAATAAGCTGGTAATGTAGAATACTTACTATACAATACGCCACCAGGGCTCCTTGTGTAAAGCCTGCCAGTACATCTGTGGGGTGATGTTTGTGGTCGGACACACGAGAAAGTCCAGTGTAAAATGCCATCATGATCAGTGTGAACTGCAGCAATGGGCGCAGCAGGCGGGCTCCTCTCCAAGTAAATCTGGCTTGCAGGTACAACTGTAATGACAAAGAAAGCAACAGAAAAGCACAATGATACTGTCCTCAAAGTAAATGACACCATCAACCTTCTCCAATATGAAGCTTCCAAAATCCTGGTTCAGTGCTATGATAATGATGGTGGACTAACCAACTTCTGGGCAACCTTCTTCAACTTAGCCAGTTCTCCTTGAACAAAAGCTAGTACTAACTATTGGGGTACCAATTTCATCTTGCTACTGATTTCAGGGTGCCTGACCAATTTCACTTTGGGCATATTAAGAGTATGACTCCCATTGAACCTAGCAAGTGTAACATTGGAGAAAGCTGATACAGATGAACATTTTCTATGTGAGGGGTATCTATGCCACTAAGTATCACATCACATGGCACTTTAACTTAGGGAGTTTTCAGTTCTGGGTTATGTCAGCCATGGTTGTTGGGAACTGTAGTCAGCAACACCTGGTGTCAGCTTTGGAAGCCATATTAACACCGGAAGCTTCCATGCTGCCACATTCTTGTGCTTGGGAAATTAGGAAGGGGGGGATTTTGTAGAGGAAATGTAGTTAGACATAATAGCTTTCTTCTTTTCGGTAAAGGTCATGGTATTCCTGCATCTGGAGAAGGTGTAGTTGAAGTGATGTCTTGAGTTGGGACGGATTGAGATTGGACCATGTGATGGACTGATGAATGCAGGGGCTGGGTTTGGACTTTTGACTTACTGAGGGAAAGCCCAGAAATCTCAGATTCCGGTTTTCCCAGATGTGCATGTATACCTACTCTAATAAATGGGAGCTTTGAGAAATGCCTGTCTCAGAGTTTTTCATTGGAGTTGGGTCTTTACGGAACGCTGACACCTGGAAGATGACAGGCTCTCCCAATCGTTATGAAAGTTAATTACTCTTTGGGGTGGGGGGGGGTTGCTTTCCAGAGCCACATTTCATCCCGTTGCAATTTAGATTAAAAATCTGAACATTCAAACCGTGTATAGCAAATTACCTTGGCTTCCCTGGATCGATGCTAATAAACTTCACTGGGTAACCCTGACTCTCATTCTGATAATTGCAAGGATACTGTCTCGCTTTTTCCAGGTTATAATACTTCCCTTTTGTCATTTTCCCTCTTGACTAAATATCCCACACTTAAGAACTTCTTCATAAGAAAGGTGCCCTAATCCTTTTGGCTTCCCTTTTTCTGTGCTCTATAAAAATCCACAAAGCTCTTTCAAGTTTGGCTACTGGATAATTTTAAAATACTATGTAGTTTCTTACATTGTGAAGTCATATGTTTGAATTTCACCTCTTTTCTAGTTTTGCCTGAAATTCAAGTTTTGTTGAGTTGCTTTTGACTTTAAGACTTCTTAAACATAAAATTTAGAAAGAAAAATGACATTTTTGCTACAGAGGTGGAGCAGAAACCTATAAATATGTTAGATATATACTCAGATGAAAACTGAGGGTGTGACCTGAGATGAAGTAGCTGTATGAGGTCAAATGGACACTTGTCCCCTGCCTCATTCCTCCCCACTTATCCTGATTCAGTTTCCTCTCAAAAGCTGAGGGCACAGCCTATTTCTCAGGTTCCTGTGGGAACCAGGGAGGCAAAAAGGGAAAGAGGCTGCAGGAAACACATAGACGTCTACTCACAAATCAAAAGAGCTGGTAGCTGACCCAACCCAAAAGTCAGGGTGTGGAGAATGTAGACCCAACTGAATACCTCATCAACCACTGCCTTCCTGTGCATAGGAAGCAAGGAACGGGATGTGACAAGGTCACAGAAATGCCTTGTGTAGGATCTGGGCTGTAATATTGATTGGAGGAATTGAACTTGTTACATTACGGTACACCTACAAGAGTGCATTAAAAAATCCTGCATATTGTTGAATAGAGCGCTTACAATTGATAAGAAAATATCCAACAAAAGTTTCTGATTCCCTGAACATGAAATGCAATCAGATTCTTTCCTGGAACGTAATTACTGAATGACGTGCTTGAATCTTGAGGTTGCTTTTTGTGACTAGGGATCCCTTGTCTGAATCCCAAACCTCTCAAACCTTCTTTAGAAGAATTCTCTCATTTGATACTATTTTCTGTATCTAAATCTAACTCATATCCAGTCCTGATCAAAATATCTGTGGTTTAATGCAGTGGGTGTAATTTTCGGGTGTGTGTACGGAATTCAAAACCTTCCCACCCAGTTCATCTCCTAGATCAGGGGTGTCAAATTTGTGCCATGACAATGACATCATGTGACATACCGGGACTTCCCCCCCCCTTCTCTAAACCAGGCGGGATGGGGCCAGCACTTGACGCATCCGGCCCATGGGCCGTGAGTTTGACACCCCTGTCCTAGATTGAGGAATATGCTGCCATATCTATAGAACAGGTTTGCCCACAACTACCCCAAATACCCTCTTCCTGGATTATTTCTATCAACACAATGGGTCCAATTGTGTGCCATCCTGTGATTTCCATGCATTCTCACACTGAAAAGTTATTCTTTGATAATGTTAGTGTGATTAAGAGTGCATTAGTGCTGCAAGAAAAGAGGGAAGAAAATGCTTAAAAAATTTTCTAGCAATAACCCAGATAAAAAATGTACATGTCTGACTGACAAAGTCAGGCAGGTTGACCAGCTTGAAGACAAGCCCTGTGTCTAAATCCATTTTTGCCAGTTCTTACCTGGCATATTACAACTGTTTTGGGGCAGTGGAACAGACAAGAGCTACCTATTGTTGCTGGAAAATGGGAATAATTCATTAATAGCCCTTCCCTGAAATGTTACCGTAGTGCTGTGATGGCAAACCTATGGCACGAGTGCCCGAAGTGGCACACGGAGCCATGTTGCATGGCACATGTGGCATCGCTCATTCCTCTTCTGGGTTTTTGGTGTGCATGCAACAATCACCTGGCTTTGTCCATGCAGCAGTGCCAGAAACCAGAAGAGCTGGTCTTCCTTTTTCCGGTGTGAGAATGCACGTTGGCCAGCTGATCGGCACGTGCGCATGTGTAGCAGTCACCGGAAGTACATTTCCGGAAAAACAGAAGTACTCCTCTTCCTAGTCGCGGCCCAGACGACGAAAAGTGCTCCCTTTTCGGCACTTGGTGCTGAAAAGGTTCGCCATCACTGGTCTAGTGGGATCTAGGAAGTGTAACTATTTTTGCAACAGCTGCTTTCCTTGGGGAGCCATCAAACCTTCACCATCTTTTACTTCCAGAAGGTTGTGAAGAGCTGGCTAGGCCCCTGGCACTGGGATAGAGTAAGATAGAAAACTGAAGGTGGTTTAGTTCCAGGCAACAGAGGAGAATAGAGCCACAGTATTCCACCGATAAGGGCAATTTTGCTACTGAGTGCTCTGAAAGAGAAAGCTAAAGCCAATGAAATTATCTGCTTTTTAAAATTAAGCTTTAAGTTGAATTTAAAAAATTTAATCAGTATATGCATATCCTTTTATGATGAAAAGATAATGTCTGGCTTGTAACCAGCACTTTTTGTATAAGAGTGATATATATATCCATAGAATCAAATTCCCCCCCCCCCCAAATTTTAAGATATGTCTCAAGATATGACATGGTAACAAATTTGCAAAAAGCCCTCCTAAGAAAACAGAAACAGAAGCTGGCTTTATCACAGATGAATTCAGGCTAAAATCTGCATCTAATTTTGTTATGATCAAATGCTGTAAAAACAGCAGGTTTGTCCAAGGCTTTTACTAAACATGAAGGGTTAATTAATTGAGTTCTTGCTAACCAAATCTTCCCCTGTCTCATTCATGATCCATTTTGACATTGCCATCCTATCCTTACTTCTTAAATGCTTTCATTATAAAGTGAAACCAAGCTAAAGAAAACAAAACTTTATTCAAAAAAAAATACTAAAGTTGTTTTCGTAGCGAATTATATATGAGTTTTTTTAGTAAAGTCTCCAACTGCTGCAAACTCAGTCATAGGAGTTTACAGAGGCGCCGAGGTGGTGTTTGGATAGTAACAAAACATTGAGCAATTACAGCAGCAGACCAATGGGCAGCCATGGGAAAAACAACCACCAATAGCATGGACTAGAAAAGTGTGACAAAACCAAAGAGGGAGGGAAGAAAGCAATGACCCGTGACCATTGAGTGCTGGAGAACCATACAAGTATTAAAATTCTGGCAAGAACTGCACCACCACATAACCAACAGCTATGGGGGAATATGTAGCACCGCCATTGCCAGGGGACTTCCAGTGATGTCAGTGGGAATAGACTGTGGTCAGCCAGAGATCCTAAGCAAATAAAAATGAGGTATCAGTGTTCTTTCAGCAAGTTACAGAACAGCAGGAGAAAACTATTAATAGTTGCTTATATTTTTACTTTTTGGAATACATTGTAAAAAAAAAAAAAGGCTGCTCACTCCAGCCTGTAACCTAAGCCCGCCTTCTAAATTCACCTCCTAAATGTTAGTTTTTTTGCTATTTCCAGTAGTATTAATGAACATGTGTTATGAAGCTTGTGCATGCCAGATTCACTTTCTGCTCATTTGTGCTGCCTGAGCCAAAGGATCTTTAGATACTCCATATCATTAAACGGAGATAAATTTGTGCCATTTGAAATTGCTGAGAAGAACAGAGGGACTCAACCCAAACTGGACATCCTCCTCTGACTTGATAACTGAAAATGTGTTGGAACTAAAGGTTTTAATCATAATCTTCAAACATCTGGAAAATATCAGTTTGGAGCTGGTTAGGGAAAGGAGAAGAGAGATACAACCAACTACAAAGAATACATATTTTGTGGGCTGAACACTTGAAATTCATATATACTGTATATACTTATTTATTAAACACACACACACAGTATAAAATGTAATGTTGTTTTTGGAAATAAATAAGAATGTATGTAAAGTACTACTTGACTAATTTAAATGTGGATATAAAATTGATTCATAGCTTTTTATGGTAGTAAAGATTAACATCTTACAAGTGAGTGAGTAGCAGAATTTGGCGTTGCTCAGATCAGTTAAAAAATGCAAGAGGGGAAGACTA